GAGTTTAGTAGCGGTTGTCCACTCGAGGCAGACGGAGTCGGGGCTGCGCACGGAGAAGAGCGAGGATTTCGGAGAGAACTTCCTCGAAGAGATAAGCTGGCGCCATGGCCGCAGGTCACTATGGGAAAAATGGAAAAAGTAACGGAGACGTATGACACGTACAAGTGTTTAGATTGCGACGTAGTGTTATCTGGATACCGGCGAGGCGACCCGGGTCTGAGACAGCACGTCCTGAAAGGTGACGGCAAGTGCCAGTACGTTCGAGATGTGTACAAGGGCCGCGACAAGGAACTTTGCCTCGTGCTGGGGGAGGTGCGATTCCAGAACGGGCTTCTGGCGTTTCCCGAGTATGTGTTGTACACCAAGGACAGGTACATTTCGATCAACGGAACGAAATACTGCGTGGTGTGCGCGACCTCTGTCTTCGAGGGCCACTACGATGCGTGCGCGGTGATGATCTCTCGCCTCAAGACGTACCTGCAGCGCTGGAGGCTAAACGTGCCCGTGGACAGCGCTATATTGTTCAACCACGTCAGATACGCCGCCTACGACGACGACCTGGAAACCGACGGCGTCATGGCAAGACCGCCACGGCGTCGCGCCTCCGAATTCCACGTGCTGGGAGAACCGGCCAACATGCGTCCGGTTCCCGGAGCCTTCGACGACTCGCACAGATGTTACGACTGCGACCTGGTGGTCAAACACTTCGTGCGGAACGACACTCTGCTGGGCGAACACATCTATCACGCGTATACCGCGGACGGCCCCGGCTGCAAGTACATCGATCAGAGGTACAGCTCGCACGAAGTGGCTCGGATTCTGGCTAAGGAACGGTACAGAAAAGGACACGTCGCCTTTCCCGATATCATCGGCCAAGCCGTTTACGGATTCGCGGCTATAGCCGGGGCTTACCATTGCATCGTCTGCGGCACCATAGCCGTCCAGGGGTTTTACCTGCCTTCACGAGGACATCGGCCGCAATGCGACGCCATGAAAACCTTGCTCCAGGAAAAGCTAAAGCACCTGAAACTGTTACATTAAAAAAAAAACATGTTTATCGCCTCGCACGTGTCGATGTGTATCAATGTGCCTTACATGTGTATCGATTTGTATGCCTTGTAACAATAAAGGAACACAAAGTGATGTTTTGTACCGTTTCATTTATTTCACAATTATAAAAGAGTGATATTCTCATGCCATTTATTTCACAGTTATTTATTTCACAAGTATAAAACAGTGTTTTTCTGTTTCATTTCACAACGGACAATGTCCCCCTGTAAAGTCTCTGTAAAGTCAAGAAGCACCTAAACATACTAAAAGAACTCACTTGCACACATTTGCTAACCGTTTTTGCTTTCGCTCCTGTCTCTCCGGAGAGAAATCAAAAGAGCAATCAATATACATAGCCAACCATGCGTAATTTGCTGCTGCTGCTGTGCCTAGCCGCCGCGGCGTCGCTTGCCTTTGGACGGTACACGGAGCGGGGACCCCTGCACGAGGTCCTCTCCGACTACATGAACAAATATCCCCACTTTCGCATGCTCACGGTAGAGTCGCCCGATCTGTTATCGCAATTTTGCGCGTGGAATATCTTGGTCTGGTCTCTGGGAGACCACGGGAGAGGGCTCGCGCTCATGGACGTGAAACCCGACAACTGCAGCGAGGCCTCGGCCTACTCGTGGAACGGCACGTTCCCGTGCGTGCTGGTCAGAGGGGCCGACGGTACGAGCTGCGAAGGCCCGAGTAGACGACTCCGGCGCCCTCGTGCTCTCCGTCGGAGACGCCGCGGCGCAGCGTTACACGAGACAAATGTTATCGGACGGGCGCGCGAGAGTCGAAGGGCGCAAGGTATCCTCGTCGTTTCACTCGGGAGGAGAACCCAGGCTGTGTCCTTTGGCCAGAATGATCAGCGTTTGCGCGCTGATGAACAACGCTTTTTCGCAAAGCGAGCTGAAGACTCTGGGTAACGTTACCGGGTTTGAGGTACATTACTGGACCGTGCAGCGAAAACCGAAGCGCGCCGTGGTGCTTCGAGGCACAACGCTGGGCACCCGCGGAGTGCTGGAAGGAACGTATCGGGCCCCGGCATCGGACGAGACCGAGCCCGGTTGGTCCGAGCTCCCTCTGACTTATTATACCGTGTGCGCGAAGAGCACGTACGTCTACGCGGACTGCGGGAGAGAGCTCGGGGTCAAGGGGGCTCCCGGGACGGGCGCCTTTGTAGGAGAACAAATGACACACTACCCCTTTCCTTGACGATAACGTGTAACGAATGAACCCACATGAAATAAAAAAATATTCTATATCATTCATTTGTATGTGGTGTGTTTGTTGTGTTTCGATGTATTCTTTCAGATCAGACACAGAAACAATAAGCAGAAACAGACATCGTAATTTCGTTCATGTATTTTATTTGGTACATGCAAGTAATCCACGTTCCCCATAGCCCCATAACTCATCAATGCCCCTAAACCCGAAATCTAACTAGGAACTAGTCTTCGAGCCTCAAACGGGCTCGGAGTCTCTAAAAAATCTGTGGCGCCACATTATTTTTTGCTACGCCCAGATTAAAGAGTTCTACGGCCCCCGCGGGCTCGGCGTCTCGTAGCCGGACCCCTCGCGGGCTCGACGTCTCGTAAGCCGGAGGCTCGTTTCCGTCTGGCCAGCTCGAGAT